AGTAAAGTAAAAAACTTTTTCTACTTAAACATGACAAGAAAAAAATGGGACGAAATACGAAGACATGTAAACATGTTAGATTAACCCAATGGGTTTGTTAATATTTTTTGGCAATCTTTTGAGAATATATATCAAATTACATATAACCTTTCATCATCACTACACGGGGCCGTACCGCGTAGGTAATGACGGTGCAAGAATATACAATACCCATAATATCATCTCGTGTCGTAGGAAGTGACAGAGAGAAACAAATAAGGAGATCCTAAAAACGACAAAAAAATAAAAAACTGCGATTTCTAACCCACTTGGTCGATATCGTTCTCGGTGACAATAATTTACGCAATTCGCTAACTATTTTCAATAAATCTTATATCGACGCGTAAAACATGGCGATGTGGTTGCAAAACGCGATTCGCTGTAAGGGTATGTCAAGGCGAAATTAGAATAGTGGCTGATTTCGCAGAAATATTCGGTAAAAAATCGATTACACGAAACCGGCGGCCGGTTCGTCATGATATTACTCAAAAGAAATTTTTTGGATAGACACGCATCAGCCTGATTGACTAACAAGCTGATTTGTACTTAATGCCATTAAAAGAAAAAAAAAAACAATTTCAACAGAAACGGTAAGGTAAACTTCGCTTAAAAATTCCATAGTATTTCAATAGATGGCGGTTTAACCTAAAGCAGAAATGTCTTTATTTATTTAGTGTCGACCGCCACCCATGAACTACTGCAACACCACGGGAATTGCAGATGCGTTGCCGGCCGTTTAAAAAGAAGAAAGCTCGTTTCTAAAAGGTGCTTAAGTCATATGGGTCCAAAAAAATCTTCGTTGGTAAACAATTCCACAAAGAAGTGGTGCGAGGAAGAAAACTCTTAGTAAATCGCACATTTGTGTACGGCTAAGCATCTAGATGATGTAAATGGTAACGTGAGTTAACGTGGTCTGAAACTGGGATCATCAATACACCTGCGTGGAAATTGGGATGTTTTGTTTGTTGTGTAATTTTATTAAAGAACATGCTTTGTTTACATAAGGGTCCTATTCCTTTAAGTTTTGATTAATAATATCGTGCTAATAGACTGTGAAGTCCGCCGTTCCTGCTTTTGACAGAGGAACCTCATTTTGAACCGGCAGTAGATTAAAAACATGTTGACGTTTAACAAACGAAATTTTACTTTCGCGTGTGGAAAAATAAAGTTTTCATTTTATTTCAAATTTAGGCTATTTTTTTTTTGTATTATTGCGACAGGGCTTGGGTTAACGAAGTATTTATAGGTTTAAATAGACACAGAAACACGAGGGCAATCGCGACACTTGAAACCCGGCGCGGGAATCTATAAGCCGTGAGTTTGTTCGCTAATTGACTATGACTACAGATATGGACCACTCCTAGCATACTAATTTTAAGCTAACTTACAGTGGGTTAACGGGAATAATAATAGTATTACTATCTTTGCTACTATTCTTATTTACAAGAAAAAAAAAAACGTCTAAACCCAAAAATAATTACAGTTTGTGTATGTGGTGTGTGCATATATGTTGCTTTTGACTGATATATTGGTTTTGACTGTGTTCCGAACACAAGAGGTCGTCAAAACTGTAGGTACTTTAATATAGTTCTTTAAAAATATGAAGAATGTTTTTGTATTATTGCGTGTATGCATGATAATAACCTATTTCTAATATGATTTATATACCACCTAGATTTCTGTGCAACATAAAAAGAAAACATAATTGGAAACTGCTTTTTTTTAAACTTCTGCTGTATCTCTTGCTGGTTCTTCCCAGGACAGAAGTATTTTCCGAACCAGTGGTAAATTAAACATAACAATGACTTTCAATAAGTATTATTCAAATCTATATTGAATAAAAAATCTATTTCTATTTATATCTTTATTTCTATTCTATTATTGTACCTACCTAGTATACGAGTACTCGCTTAGATACGACTTAGTAATGTTAAGTAATTATTGAACAATCGATGGGAACGAGGCTACGTTAACACAGTTATCTACTTACCCAATTGTTGAATAATTATTGTTTAATTGAAAGTACTGTGATAAGGTCCTAATGTGTAATAAAAATATTTATTATCAAATAATCGTATTCATTCATACGCGTTAACGTTCATGAAATTAAATGAAAGGGACGTTTATCTACTACGATTTCTTTTTCATGTGGCAGTGTGTCACTGCAGCTATATTGTGGTCAGCACGAACGGTTCGGCTAGACCGGAGTACGACCTCACAGAATACCAACGTAAAGTAGCAGCTTACTGCTGCTATGTTTCATATGGTGAGTGTAGAGAATCGGAGGTCCTTTTCACTGGAAACGAGACATTCCATCTTAGTCCTCGGGGTGACCAATAGTTAATCAAGGCACTATAGTAAAATAACACTGTCCGACATTGTTATTGTCTTTAGCAAAACATGTTTTGACCAATTCAAACGAGCATACGGCTCACCTCAAGGTTATAGTTACTCATAGACATCCGCGACAGCAGAGGAACTAAAGGTGCGTTGCCGGCATTTTAGAAAGGAGTAGACTTTTCTTAAAGGTACCGCACCCTAAGTTTTATCAGTCCAAAAAAAACGCTAGCGATACTAGCTTAATAGATAGACTTTAGCGTAACGGAAACTTTTTGGAGAAACGCAGTGGTGGATTGCCAACATTCAAGATAAAGGTTGAATTTAAAGCTATCGCAGTGAAAGGCATGAAACATAATTTATATGCGGTAAATCCAAGATGCAGCAAAATTATTAATGCCTCGTTGATGAACGACCACTAACGTTCCGGGTTCGAATCCCGGGTAGGGCCACAAAAATCAGTCGTGTCATTTTACCGTCCCATCTGACTATGAGAGAAGGAATAGAGAGTACCTGCGCTTGCGAGCACTCGAGCACTATAACCCTGTCCTGCGCAGATGGCTAGTCTCCGTTGAGGCTGGCCACCGCCGAAATTCGACACGACAGGGGAAGGACCACGCTCTCTTATGAAACAAGAGCATAATACAGCTGTGCTGCTGTGTTACGTATGATAAATGAAACGAAATTAAGAATATGTATATTTATTATGCAAAAATTACTAAATTCAAGTAGGTAGATACTTAAGTATGTTTCACGCAACTTATTCATGGTGACGAAAATGTATTGGTACGAATGTTGCCGTAGTGTTGGTAAGTAAAAATTGCAGCCATGTTTCTATTGTTTAATACTTTATCTTCATGAGAAACTGTTTAAATGAGTAATTACGTTAATTATTTATACTTGAATTGACGAGTAGCTTATAATTAAAGCGAAAGCGAAGCAAATTTTAGGAATAGAGATAGAAAGAAACGTATAGAACAAAAGAATAAAATTAAAGTTTTTTTTTTATTTAAAAATGCAAGTTAGGTATTAGTTACTTGCAAATTCATCCATCTCGTGGGGGGACGCCCTACACTTCGCCTACCGGTACGAGGCTGCCACTCGAGAACCTTTCTTCCCCATCGGTTGTCGGTTCTTCGAGCTATAGGCGAAGTGTAGGGCGTCCCCCCACGAGATGGAGTGACGACCTGGTAAGACATGCAGGAAGTCGATGGATACAGGTGGCTCAGGACCGTGCTTTGTGGGATTCTTTGGGGGAGGCCTATGTTCAGCAGTGGACTTGTGAAGGGCTGTAATGATGATGATGATGATGATGATGAAATTCATCCATCCATTACAGCCTATAAAAGTAAACTGCTGAGAATAGGACTCTCCTATAAATTGCTTCGTAGGGAGAATTTTGCAATAGTTGCCACGCTTGGCATGCGGATTGGCGACTGCAGTTTTTTATTATTTTGATTCGTTAGTTTCTATCAAAGTTTAAATTCATACTAAAAATTAAATAAACATCATCATCATCACAGCTTTTCACAAGTCAACTTCCGAACATAAAGGGAGAAGGAACCTACAAGAAATGCCACAAAACATGGTCCGGAGCCACCTGCATCCATCAACGTCCTGCCTGTTCATCTAGTAGTGGGCTGCCCTACAATTTGCTTATCAGTACGAGGCTGCCACTCGAGAATTTTTCTTCAACGTATGCTGTCGGTACTTCAAGCTATACTTCAAACTAACAGATCCGTCAGGCTATATCTGTTACTCTGGTTCTACCGCGGATACCCTCATTTGGAACTCCCTGTTCCCTCCATAGTTCCCTGAGCGACCTTGAGCTTCCTCATACCGCCACCGGTGAAGAACCACATACATATGTCATAATATAGAGTCCATCCAAAAGGCAAATAATATTTAATACAATTGATTGTGCTGTGTACAGGCGACGCATGAATATTTACAACCATATAACTCCATATCATCCCAAGAGGCGATAAAGGGAAACTGAAACAGTAGATCAGCATCAGCATCTTCCTGATAACAACTAAAATTAAAAAAAAAAGCTGCAGAAGCAACCCCGCCTGCTAAACGTGGCAACTATGATTATATCCCTATGAGGTAATCTATGGGGGAGGCCTATTATGGTCCGCAGTTGACTTTTAATAGGCTGTAATGAATTCCTGAAATAAATACAAAACAAGAAAAATGTGTTCTTAACTGTTATTTAAGTATATTTCGCTTGTGTTTGAATCACAAGGAGTGCAAAAAAAAACAATACAATTTGACGCAGATAGCCACGTCGGCTCATCCCACAACTCAGGTAGGCGTTTTGCGCGATCATCTTAAAAAAAAAAACACTCTTCCTCTCCTCGCTTTCGTAATCTAACAAACAGTCTATCGAGAAACTGTTTCAACTTAGATATATAGCAAAACAATGGACTCCTAAGTAATAATAAATACATAAGTATTTAAATAACAAACCAAAATGACGACCCAGTTGTAATATTTTCATACAAAACAGTCCGCTGTGTCCAATCAAACGAGACGACAGGTTTTTTCCGCGAATACGCACATCTTAGAAGCACGACAAACTATGGAAAGAAAGTACAGTTAAATAACTTTAGAATACTCACGCGACGTTGGTCGTACGACGGAGATGCTTAGAAGAGATTATGTGACTGATTATTCTTATTTCTAACACTGTTTCTATGTATCACACAGTTCTGAGTTCACTTTTGTTTAGCACAAAATGTTTTAAATCACGGGTGGGGTATTTGTTTTGCACAAGTTCTAAGTACAATTGTGAAGCGGTGTAAAACGGGTACGGCATAAAATTACTCCCCTAACGTATTAAATGCGCGACGGAGCGCGGCGGACTGACTGTGACTGACTGACAGACGGCGGAGCGGATTGCGGTTGCGGGCGCGGGCAATGTTGCCAACTCCATGACACGGCCAGATGCTAATGATATTTCAAAAAGTGCTAGAATGCTAAGAATTTACAAAACTAATATAGTACTTACTATTACCATTTTAATTGGTACGATATAATATGTAGGAATCGAAGATTAGCTTGTTATCTGTATTTAACTAATTTAAATCGATAATAAGATAATATGTTCATTCTGTTCATATTATAATGTCATTTTATGTATGAAAATGAAAGGATTACCGGAAGGAATAGAAGGCGAAGTACGGAAGGCAAGACGACAGCAGAAGACAAATAGACCTACCAGTAGCGATTACTTTGAGGTTAAGATTAAGACAAAAAGAGGATTGTAGGTGTAATAAACCGTTTAAATTTATTAATTTCAAATTTGTATTCCACCGTTGCCTTTTGCTGATCTCCAGCGCCATCTCCCTTCACATATATATATGTATATAAATATAAATATCTTATATCAAGAATGTACTTAATATGAAATAAAACAATTTTTTTTTTATCTAGTAACAAAATATTTAAACCAGCGTAAGGGAATGGCGTTAAAAGTGCTAGACGCCTACTTCTACGATTATCAATCCACCTACCAAGCCTCTAAAGTTTTCTTTGATTGTTGATAAAAAACTATAGTTCGCTAGCAAATGCAGACTTTTCCTAATAAAAAGATGTAGATAATCTTAACTTCCATGCGTGATTTTTAGAATATTTGGCTCCGTACATGCTAAGCTTGCAACACTGGGCGCGGGTGATAAATCAAAGTATAGGTACATTCTCCAAAACATCATCTCCCATTCAAAATGCTAATAAATATTACTCTTAGGTCTTAGGTGCGATTTCATATTATTTAATTTATAATGCAACTTTAATTATTGCAATTGGAAACTTTGAAGATCTTTTTAATTTTTATCATGAGTCGTTAAACAATATACCTACTTACTGCCTTTATTATAATCGTTTTATCGCTTACCTAAATTATTAATTATCTTTATAGCTGTCTCTTTCTATTTTTATTTAGTAAAAAGAGAAAGGGAGATATTTCTTTCCCAGCAAAATATTAATCCAGGAGGCTTTTCTTTCATAAATAATAGTTTTATTATTATTACCTACCTACCTAAAATAAAATTTAAAATTACAGAACAATAATAGCTATAATTCATATTTTAGTGTAGTAACAAATTATTAAAATAATTTAACATGTGATGTATTTTACTATTTAATACCCATCACTAATAAAAAAACTAGATACACAATCCCATGCAAAAGTTCTCTAAAAACTGTCCCCAATTGTTTTGGCGTAATTCTAGTTGAAATAAATATACTTTACTGTAAATTCAACCTTAAATGCATTTCCTAAAGTTGTATTCACAAAGCTACGTACAAATTAAAAGCGCAGTCAAGTGTTCGAGTGGGCGCTCATTTGGTAAGTACATTTTTTATCACTGATTGATTGTGTATCTAGTTTTTTATTAGTGATCAATGTTAATACCCTATAGTTAGAATGTATCTCTTGCTGCTGTACATAACAAATTAAAAATATTGTCACCAGTTTAATGAATATTCATTTAAGAAATCTATGTTTAGATTAAATTTATTCTTAAATTAAAAGGCGCTGCAAACATTCTAAATTAACATCTGCATTTTGTAATTGTGGATGTAAGCTGCAACGAAGAACGAGGACACAGTCCACCTTATAGTAAGTTGCTTTGTGGCTCATACTCACAGACAAACTACGTTTACCCTGAATTAAGAATTCAAATGCAGAGGTGGCAACCCTGAGTAAGATTCAATGCCTCGTATCCTCGTATCGTGTTTACTGTTTTGGGGTAATGTATTTAAAAAAATGACAATATTAATTTTAACCAGCTACAGCACGGCTAGACCAGCTAGACCATCGTGCCGTGTTAGACGCGACGGATAGTGAGATATAAGATGAGTACCTACCTAGCAGCATCTTCACGATAACAGCACAATAATTTATTTATTTTAAAGGACATGCTACAGTAGTTACAATATATACTATTTATTGTTTTCTATCTTTATGCTTACTGAACTACAGATTACAGGTTGTGTGACAACCTGTAATCTGTAGTTCAGTAAGCATAATATGTAATTCAAAGATGCTGCTTAAAATTTAATAATAATATAAAAATGCGGCTGTCAACCATTGAGTTATATATATTTAACTTGCCATCCAAGCGAGAAAGCTATGGCAAATATCCCCTCTATGAGCAGCAGTGGATTTTTTTATATATGAATTAATGAATTTAATTGAGGTCATTAAGGAGTATGTTATAGCTGAATCTGAATGACAGGGTGAAAAATTGTGTGATAAGAAAAGAGTGTGGTTTGCAAGATAATGTTGTTGACCAGGATTAAGAAAGGAATGCTTCGGTGGTTTGGTCATGTAGAAAGAATGAATGAGGAAAGAGTACCAAAGCAAATTTAGGCTGCAGAAGTGAACGGCAGAGTCGGAAAGGGACGCCCTGAGAGGTGTGTCAGAATCATGCCAAATGGAAGTCTATCGTCTCTGCCTACACTTCTGGGTGACAAGCGTGTTTATGTATGAATTAAATTTATTTCGAAAATTTGTTCCCACCGTACAATATAGTAACAAAATGACTTTCCTATTACCTACCTAACTAATATTGTTCACTAATTATGTCACAAAAGTTCAAAGTAACAAAATATATATTATAACTTACGACAACAACTTACTGAGCGCAGCACATTTATAACAAAATTCTCCATTGATTGCACACACAACTTTGTATTTCATACTGTGAAATATCACACGCCACTGGAATTTGCTTAGTTCGAGATTGCGAGTGAGCGTGCAAATTTTACTAAAGTTAAGGTCATTTGTTTGTTTTGAATAAAGTTATTTGATTCATGATTGTTTTATTTATGAACCTAAATATAGTTTTTATACGTGGCAGATCGACTCTGCAGTTACGTTACGACCGAGGATGGACCACGCTCTCACAGAATACTACTGTAAAATTAAATAACCGACGATGGATCCGAAAATAGTTAGCAATGTGATGATATCAGTAAATCCTTCCTAAGATAAGTGACCATGCACAGCAATGGAATGGTCCATTGTCCACGGGCTGATAAATTTTTATAAATAAAAATGCTCTATACGAACTGTATCCCCATACTAGGGTGGGTGTACCAGTCCCAAACCAGGTACCAATGGTTGACCACTCATATGTTCAATTGAATAAATTAAAAAATGGCGGGCATTTTTTAAGAATTCAATAGTTTTGTTATGTAGCCTAGACTATAACCAATCTGAACATCATTTTTGCGAGAGTAAACGAAAAATATCGATACTTAGCTCTTTTTCTCAGACCAGTGTCTCGTTTACTGCCTTTCGGCCGCCATTACAGTTAGACTTGCACGTCGACATGATAAGTTGAATATTTTAATATTACCTATTTAAAAAGTTTTGTGTATATTTAAGTGCTATGCGGTGTTATTTTTATTAAATAATGACATTATCAAGTATTTTTAAAGGTGGTCAACTACTGGAACACACCTTGTACTGAGTTCCTATCGTTGACCAACTGGTTTGCAACTGGTTGCTTATGGTGTTTTCTTTTTTGTTCTTTTTTTTTTCATAGCAATGCTTTTGTTTGACAATTTAGAGGTTAAAGCCAATTATTAAAATCGTTTTATGCGGTGTGCCCCAGTTGTTGACCACTGGTTTGCTATTGGTACACGGTAGTAAAAAGAGTGTTCCTATGGATGACCACCAGATTAGAGTTTTAACTTTTTTCGTTGTTTTACACTGAAGATAGACGCAAAAAGATATTTTTTTAAATATACAGAGCTAAATTTTGTTTAAGTATCTCGATGCATAAAGGCGCTTTAAATAAGGCGAATATGTCATATCATATCCCTCACCCGACTGTTATAAACAAACTGAAAATTAGACATTCTCAACGGAAAATGGGACCACCAACTATCTTGACCCTACAAGAAGAGTTTGTTTTATCTAGGTGGATTAACGCTAACGTTAAAAATGATTGTTTATTGGAAACAGTTAGCCAAGTAATAAGAGAGCACATCTTTGACTGATTTTGGACCTGGAGTATCAATCCAACAGCCAGAAGAAAAGGAAGTTACCCTACTCCCACAGGATTTTTTTAAAGGATAAGGGTGACAAACGAGCCCAACTAATAGTATGTGGTTGCTGTAGCCCATAGACATCTACATCTATCCTCGATTACGAATCAAAATGCAGATGCGTTGTCAACCGTGAAGAATTAGGTGGGATGTCTCGTTTCCAGTAAAAAGGGTCTCCGGTTCTCTACACTCGTCTGATGAAACAGAAGCGTTATGCTGATATTTTACGCTGGTATTCTGTGAGAGCGTGGTCCTGCTTCGGTCCAACTGACCCATTCGTGCTACAACTATACTACTAATACAGCTGTAACATGGCTCCACGTAAAAAATCTTGAAGCGACACCACCAAAATCCAAAGGTAGCCAAGCACCTAAACAACTATTTCCCTGGGAAAATCAAAAACATTGATGGATCTAACGCTGAAGTCAGTACTATGATGGTATCATCTGCGACCATTTTCAAATGGCTTGAGAAAGAAGATTATATTGTATGACCGTGAAATATAAATCCGTGAAATTGCGGGGAACAGCTAGCATAAGATAAAGCTTTCTAGTTGTTTTGGTAATTTTACGGTTTCTAGATAAGTTTTTGTCAAAATCGCCTACCTCAATATGATGAGACTGATTAATTTAATTCAAAGTCTGTGATAGGTGAACTGATAATTTATGTGCAAAGCTATTTTTCTATTGTAGTTTGCTAATAAGCGTTGTTAACGTTAGATAATGTTCTAATTCTCATGTTTGTCTTCTAATTAGTTACCTTCGACTGTGCCATTAAAATTGGTTGTAAGTCTAGATAAACTTTCAGTCATCATATGAAAG